TGTTACTAGTAGTAATTGAAAGGAGAGCTGGGTGTAATTTTCTCACAAAAATTCATAGTTAATGCAATGGATGTCAAAAGGATTTCTGCCTTAGAAAGAATAGTTTCTTTAGTATGAGTAACCCTAATAACCCAAAGATACTTCCTGAAGGGTTCATCCCAAACAGTTACCTTTGCAGTCTACAATTATCTTGGGAAGATTTTATTGCACTGTTGTGACATTAGGTAAATTATAATTAGATTTCAAAGAGTTGTCTACCATTAATTAATAATGAACTTTCAATTTCCTAGACAGTTAAAACAATGGAAAAGGTATTATAATTATTATTTTGATAATGTTGTACACTGAGTTTTTTTCCTCAGTTGCAGTGTAGATGTTTTCTTCATGCAAATGTTTATTGCTTTGGAAATGTTGTACCTCCAGAGGTGTTTGTATTTATAATAAATATGAAGGTGCTCAGGAAAGATGGGGCACCCAAGAAAGCTAGTCAGACTGCTTTGCTTGCTGGACTTAAATGGGTGTATGGCTATGTTGTGTATAAGCACCATTGCCAGGCCTAAATTAATGTGACTTTTAAAATGAAGTTGGCATTCATTTTCCAGCGCTAAACCCCTTCACACAGTCTGACCATGATGAACTGGATGGGAGTGGGGAGACTGTGACACAGGTAGATCATCAACAGAAACCCAAGCCAGCAGCAGTGCCAGCTGCACCACCAGCACCCCCACAATCACAGGTGGACAATCCAGAAAAGAAAGTACCAGAGAAATCTCCAGTCCCATCTTTGCCATTGAAAAGGGCTTCGCAATCAGAAGCTGAAAGCACAGAGGTCTGTATTGGGACAGTTTAATTACTTGGAAAAATTGTTAAGAACAAGAGTTAAGTAAGAGCAATCAACAAATCAACAGTGGTTTAGCGTGTTCTGTACTCTTATCGACAATGATATTCATCATCTCAGTGGTCAAAACATTGTGGACATTACCTTGGCCTAGCTCCCTGAGGTGGGGCGGTACTGGCCAAAAGACTTTTAGTGACTGAACCTTTTATGTGCCACGCAACATGTTACAGTCTTCATCAGATTAAGGATGCTGGTTGCTTGACAGCATATTTATTATGATTTGGTTGTTTGGTGTGAAAGGCCTCCTTGACCTGTTTGCAGACATCATTTTTTATTGCTTTGTTGGTAATTTGAAAATTTTGTTTGAAAAAAGGGTTCACCATCTAATGAAGAGGCTGCACCTGTCTCAGCCTCGCAGACAGAACCTGTTCAGCCACAGGCACAGACACAGCAGCAGCAGCAGCAGCCAGAAGGTAGTGGAACTGAAATTCCAGGATTTCTTTACAAGGTAAAGAAAAAGGTTCTACCCAAGTATTTTAAGCTGCTATATTGGAGTTGTTAGTGTGATTGAGGAAAGCATAGACTGTGCAACAAAACAATTGAAAATCTTCCAATATGATGGCTTCAACATTTGATTACAATCTTAAACACCTTCCCTAGATTGGGCAGCATACGCCTTCTTTGCAAAAAAAATGTGCCCTCTTTAGGGGTATACAATAAAAATTATTGAAAACTACTATTGACAGAAGAAATCTGAGGGAGAAATTAAAATGTTTCAAAGCCATCTCATGGTAGCATTTAGGCTCTATTTAAACTTACATAATTCCAAAAACTTAATTTTTGTTTTTCTGGCTCAGCCACACAGATGTCACTCTATGTCTGCATGGCATAGAAACAGAGTGAGCTAATGAATGTGAATTGTTATTTGCATTTAGGTGCGAGCTGCATACAGATATGTAGCTGAAGATGATGATGAGTTGTCATTTGAGAAGGGAGAGATCATAAATGTTGTAGAGTTTGAAGATCCAGAGGAACAGGTGATTATCAACTTTGTTTATCTCAGTTGTGTTTCATATCATTAATTTACCATCAGTTGAGTGAAGAATACTCAAGTAAGAGAGAGGCTACTTCTTACAACAGACAACGATGAGAAGTAGAGAAACACTGGCAGATCCACAAGGTGTCTTTTGAGTTTACTAGGAAGAGAAAACTGACAATGTCTCTCTTAAAGGGTATGGGCAAGGTAACTAACCATCCAGATGAAGAACTTACCAACAGTTTACTACCACCTCACCCCTTTCTCCCTCAAGATAACCAAGTCTTCAATTTTGTAGGATTTGTTTTATGGGAGTATGGGAGACTCTACAGGTATGGTCGCATGTTGAACCTGCTCATGTATGCTAAGACTATATGGAAACAAAACTCAATATTTTTTTTCAATACTTAATTACCTGTCTAATTTGGTATATTTTATCTGTTTCCTCCTTCAGGATGAGGGCTGGCTCTTGGGTATCTTAGAACTGAGTGGAATTAAGGGTGTTTTCCCTGCAAATTTTACAAAAAAAATTTAATGGATAATTTCGTTCAAGTGAAGAGGACCCATTTATGAGTATAGTTGGTGACAATGTCTTATTCACCAGTCCTGTCATTAATAAATGTACAAAGCATTCTTTATTGGGCTTGTTTGAAATACAATGTCATTGAAACAAGATGGTGGTTAATATATGACACATTAATGTCAGTTTCTTATTTTTGAGGTGATTGATTGTTTGCAAAAGTCTACCGAGGGAAAATTTTGTATTTCTTCTCAATTCAGTTACCTTAATTCATTCCCAAAATTGTACATGTAGCTTTGCCACATTTAGATATTTCCTTGTAGAAACCTCAGTCCTTGCATTGTAACATACTTACCTGTGACAGGTAGCACAGACAATAGATGTACATGTTGACAGCATTCAGGGACCCACGACCCAGTTTGAAATCATGAATTTTAACCCCAAGGGAAATTGCTATGATGAAAAAACTTACAATTTGTTTTATGTACCATACATTGGACAGTCAAGAAAGGCATTCACCTCTATGGCAACAATCCATTTTGAAAGAGATGCGAGTCTAAATTTGCCCGAGCAAAATCACATTAATACTTGAATTACAAAATTGCAATATTGTCATGGCTTTGAGACAAGAGTTCAAAAAAAATGTTTTTTCCTAAATGAGAAATATAATGAGCTTTGTGCAAGGTGAATGTGACTCGGCTGAACATGGTCAAGAATTTGGTGTAATATTCCACATTTGAGCTATGCATATGGAAAACCTTTTTGAGTGTAGATGTGAGTTTACTGTAATTTAAATCATCTGAGTTACTTGTATAGTCCAGTTATTAAAGCAAGGATCCCACAGGAAATTTTTCTCTTGCTCTTTCCCTTATTATTTTAAATTATTAATGCTCAATAGAACCATTGCAGAGATACCAGAGACCTCAAATGTATCACGAGGCTGTACAGTTATTCATATTATTTTGTATAATTAACACTGTTGAAATAGTTCATCAATAGAAATATTTGTAGGGACAAGAAATGCTTTATTTTACTTTGTGTGCCCTTGATAGAGACAAATGCTAAATAAATGGCCACAGTCAGGAGATGTTTTTGTGTGATGTGATAAATTTGTTTGTATTTGGTAAAATGTGAAGATAATATTTGAAACACTTATATGTTGCATATGCCGGCAACAAAAAAAGTCCCCTCAGAATTCCTGTGCACGCACAGGTAGATACAACCCACCAGAAGGGATTCACTGGGAGATTTATCATGCCTCTTTCCTGAGCTTGATAAGTTTGCTGAGATCTTGGCTGGTGCAGGATCTCCAATATCTTTTGCTCTTAAACTTTGCAAAAAATTTTCCATAATTTATTGAAATTTCAAAAGTTGCTTTGCATAGATTTCTAGACACCTAGCAAATGCCATCTTGGTGAAGCCTGCACACTTCACACCGGGGGAAGACTCTCAACCGTTTCGCAGACCTCAGACAAGGCAAAAGAGAAAGCACAGAGACTTTCAGACTTGTCTGATTGGTCATCGACCTGAAGTTGGTAAAAGTGGATCAGCCAGGTTGGATCTGAGAAGACGAAAGATTGGGTTAAGCATCTTGCTGGCTGGGTGGTTGATTTATAATCGCCTGTTAATTAACGATTCTAAAACCGAATTCTTAGTTGTTGGTTCCCGCCATCAATTATCAAAAATCGCAATTGATTCCATCACAGTCGGTAATTCTACCATTCAGCCTCTCAACAGTGTTCGAAACCTGGGTTCCTGGTTTGACTCCAATATGTCCATGTCCATTCACATTGGTAAGATCTGCAGCAAAGCTTTTCATGGATTGTATAAAATTCGCCAAATTAGGAAATTCCTCAGTCCTGAGTCCACGAAGACTCTTGTTCACGCATTTGTGACTTCGCATTTAGACTATTGCAACTCCCTTTTATTTGGCGTACCCAAGTACCAGACAGAGCGTCTTCAGAAGGTGCTCAACGCCGCTGCTCGACTAATTTTTAGGATTCCCAAGTTTCACCACATCTCGTCCGCCTTATATAATCTTCACTGGCTTCCTGTGGCTTATCGCGTCCATTTTAAGTTGTTACTTTTAATTTATAAAGCTTTAAATAACCAAGGCCCACTATACATAAAAGAATATCTGCAGCCACACAGTGTCAAGGGTCATCAGCTACGTTCCTGCGATCAGGGTCTCCTTAAGGTCCCAAGAACTAACTTTAAGACCTTTGGTGATCGTGCCTTTGCCCGTTCTGGACCTTTTTTGTGGAACGAACTGCCGCTTGAAATTCGAAACAGTCCAAGTGTAACGATTTTTAAGTCAAAGCTTAAGACACATCTATTCAAGCTGGCTTACAGTTTGTTTTGATATTTTGTCGTTTATCATTTTAATATTTGTAGTTAATAATGTTGTAAAGCGCTTTAGAATATTTTATAATTTTAGCGCTTTAGAAATGTAAATTATTATTATTATTATTATGAGAGGGGTGCTCCCCAACCTGATAATGTGAATTGGCCACCGTGAAGAGATGTTAAAGCTGACGTCTCCAGTGTCAGCCCTTTGACAGAGTAAATCCAGTCTTTTTTGTGGAAACTTACCTCCCCACTCCCATTACCTTCCTTTCTGCTCTGTTGCTTCTCGCACCAAACTAAGGAGGATCATCGCCTGGTCACAGCCTCGTATAGCATCTCTGTTCCCCTTCATCTTGCTCATTATTGAGCCCTTCAGTACTTAACAAATTCACAAGAACTAGCTACTCGGATGCCTTCAGATAACACTAACACACCCAGACACTCAGCTCAAAGCTATTATCACTTTCTCAGTTCAGCTTTATTCTCCTTTCTTTTATTGTACAGCAGTTTGTGTTAAAAATGTCACGTACACATTCAAACTATCATGTAGTCAGTGATTTTAAATATCCATAACCAGACTGTTAGCTAAGAGTAAATTAACAGTACTTCATTAATATACTTTTTAATCACAAGCCCATCATTATACAATTCTGTCGGCAAAAGCAACTCAAAGTTAACTTTATTTTACATTTAGTGTGATAAGTTTGGTTGAATTATATTAGTTTTCTTGTTTAAAAATATCAAGATGCACTGTTTCATAGAGCCTAGGTTTACAATGTATTTACTTGTAAGAATCAAGAGGGATTTATCTTCTCTCATAAGAATCTAAGAGATGGCATTTGTACCAGAGACAATAGAACTCTACATTCTGTTCACCAGAATTTTTAAACTGTTAATCACAGCTATTCAGTCTAGCCTAGTTGAATAGGAAAGTCATTCTAGTACTGGGTCAAAAGAATGTGCTCGTCAGGGTTCTACATCTAGTCTTTCTTTCTTTCCAATCAAAGAGCCTGGTTGCATTTCCACTCAGTAACAATCACCTCATTCATAACCACTTTCCAAAATCTGTTGCAGGATTAATCATTTCCTTGATGAACCGAATAAACACTTGCAACAGTTATGTCAAAAAGATTTTGAAAACAGAAAACTCCAGTGATATAAAGATTTAGAAAACAAAACCTATAATACGCACTAGTTAGTTGTGCGGGATTCTATCTACATCTCCTAATTCTGCACCTCTACGACTGAACAAAATACTCAATATAATATTTTAAATAGACTTGCAAAAATGCCTATTCAAATAGAATTCTTATTTACAATAATTAGATGTACACTTTACTTTGAACCCTCCCTTACCATCAAATTCCTCAAAAGATTTTTCTCTTTCATGAGCAACTAAGTTTAAATATTAAATAGACATTCCCTTTTTTTGTTTTGTTTTCGTGTCAGAAATGTAGCAACATATATGTAGCACTGCAGTTATAGACACTTGGAATACTTGGTTGATCACGGATATATAGTAATACCTTAAAAACAGATTTAATCGGAATGGCTACTCGCTATAACGTGTGGAGCAATAAATTTGAGTGGATTACTCTGCCAACATAACAAAACCACTGCTCAAAAGAAGTTCTTTGAACTGTCCTATGCTGGAGAATCATCTTATAATCAACGTGTCAACTTTCTTAACATGCAGTCCAACCCCTGGTGAAATACCTTTAGCTCAAATCTAAAAATTGATTGAAAACCAATTTTTCAGATATTGGGGTTTCAAAAATGTACATGCTTATGTTGCACTGGTATAAATACCAATATTAGTTCAATTTCATGCCCAGGAGGCTAGCTAGAGGTTGAATATCCTAGAACTGAGATTACATGAATATACACTGTATACTAGTTGATCATTAAGTTTGAATCTTTTAAAGAAAGGAATATCTAGTAAAGTGCATTAACATTTTCACTCATAGGAGCCTATTATGTTCAGAACTTAAGTTAGAAACATGTAACTTCTCATGACTTCAAAATGTTATCTTGGGAACACCTTATGTGCAGTAATCTACAAGTAAACGTAATTACTTGTGAATCTTGGGGGTTATATGGTTTCTATTTAACAATTATTCCACGAGCACGCGTTGGATATGAGATGATAGATAGCGAACGAGGCGTGTAGCGCAGAGTTGGCTATAATCATCTCATATCCAACAAACGCGAGTGGAATAATTGTTTTATTAAAAACGCTACATTAAATTATTAAATTTTATTACATTTTTAGCTCCCTTTCAATTTTAAGCTTATGCGTACGCTTACCATATCGTAGTTTAAGGTATATTGGCTCATATACCATAATGGCTGAGCCAATGAAAAGTCTTGAATTACATTATCCAATGATCCAGTTTTTAATAACATAATTTATCTCAGTGCTATATTAAGTTACATTCTGTATTTTACATTCTCCCAGTCTTCCTCTTAAACTCCTCCAACTCTTTCAGATAGGAGAGTGGAGGCCAACGATGTTCCAGGATGTGTCTTCGATTGTCACCCTTAATCAGGTCAAAATCATCACAAGCTTCAAAGTCAGGGTAGTTTGTTGTGATCACATACAAGCACCATCTTGCCAACTGAGGTGCATTGTGAGCCTAACAAAGCATAAGAAATGTAGATTAATTGCAGCCACTAATAATCACTTTTAAAGATGAAAAAAGTTGCTTGCAATTGAGAAAGAAAGGCTACCTGTCCAGTAAGAAGCAAGTTGATGATGTCATTACAGTTCACAGCCGTCATTCGTTTCTTCTTCATTTCAGCCCCAATTAGGTCTACAATAGCATTTTCACAAACCGAAATAAGCTGTGGCAGGCAAAACCTGTCAGCAAGCACCACAAGTTCCCTGAAGTCGCCAACAGACATGTCACTGGGTAATGTATCAGTATACAAGTACACCAATAGCACCATGAAACTCCTCACTGTTGTCACCTTGATGGTCACCTGTTGTAGGGAAAACCACAAATTGGTCACTTGGTATGAACACTAGAATTACTGTATTTGCTTGGACAAGTACCCTGGTCCTTACTAAAAATTTCAGCTAAATAGAGAGGTGCTTATTAGAAGGAGGATGCCTAGTCAAGCAGGCATGTATCATTCTCCTGTACTGATTCCACAGTATTGAAAGCTTAAAAAAGTTATAATTGGAACAGGTTTTCCTTGTATCTCTTCTATCCAGGAAAGTGAGGGAGGAGGGCGGAGGGCGCTTATTTGATAGGGGCATTTGTTTAACATTATGACCTTTGCCCTTTGCCCTTTGGGGGCATGAGGACCATATTAGAGCATGGGCACTTATTTGAGAAAACATGATAAGCAAAAATGAGCTGTCTCATAAAATCTGGCTGGTTAGTGTCTTTTTTTCCCCATAAAATTGTTAGAATGGACTTCAAACACCCATAAGATTATTTATTTATTATTATTTATTAGAGTCCCTCTCAAAAGTCCCCAAGTCTTAACCTTTTAACTCCCAGAAATGATTAACATGAACTACTCCCTATAATATCCATCAAACAGTTAACAAGAATCAAACTAATATCAGGTGCAAGTTGTTCTCTTGATCTCTTGATCTCATGCCAAATTCTCATAACTAATTTACAAGGAAATTTGAGGTAGCCAGAGGGGAGAACTATCATTCAGATCCTGGGATTTAAAGAGTTTACAACTTTAAATTTCCAACTCCACATAAAACTCAGGTTATCAGAATGTCAGTCACTCCAAACGACAACAGTATATGTCTCAGAGCTACCCTAACCAAGAAGATCATTCTACAGGGTTACAACGTGAAAACACAGGCAAAAGCATTTTCCATTAAGACATACCTCTAGGCTATCACGTTCACTGAAGCCACCACCAAACATCGCTGCCATGACCTCTGATCTTGCCATCAACACAGCTCTGTGAGCATAAAAAATGGTATTCTTCACATGAAAAATAACATCTGAAAAGTGTGGCTTGTTTACAAAGTTCTCTTTAACAATTTTGCTTCTTTCCTTATGAAGAATGGCAACCATGCTTGGAATAAGGTAGCTCTCCCCATTTGTTACATTCTCACAGATTTGCCCCAGCCAAGGAATGCGCAACCTGTGAGATAAGCTCATCACTTTGGTTAACAGTGCCTCATCAGTATCAGAGGAAATGTTTGGTGAACCTGTATAAAGAAACTCTAGAACATGCTGAAAAGCTCTGCCTGAAACACTGTTATTGAAATGCAAGCAATTCTTTGGTCTTCCTGTTTTAGACTTTCTCTCCAAGTTTGGTGAAAGAGACAAGCTTTGGTGATTGGACACAGAATTTTGAAGGTTTGCAGCCAAATGAAGCCTGTCTTTTGTACTGCTCTTTTTTCCAGTGTTTGCTTTGTTTTCCTTGGTCATAAAGCATGAACAGGAATCAGCATTACTCAGCAATCTACTAAGTTCCACTTCTTCACCATGGTTCAAAAAGAAATCACGGAAGACTGCAGAACCTACGCTGAGGATGAGTTTATGTGCAGTAAGTGGGTGATTGTTAGAATTGAACAGAAGTTTAATATCTGAATTCCCTGATTCATCTCTGTACATCTTCTTCATGTCATCAGTAAATGTGGAAGGAAGAACTTTCACTTGTGGCATCGGATCTAGTTTACAATGGAAAGAAAAAAATAAATAAAAACAGTTATCCCAAAAGCTTAATTCATCAAAATGCAAGTCTATTCTAAAAACATGTCATGTATATCTTGTAGTTTAAGGTTTGCAAATTTGTTGTTAAATTGTAAATGTGTGGTTTCAGAAAATATCCATACCCCCTACCGAAGGGATTTGCCGTATGACCCCCCCTTCCCTCTGGATTTTCCAAAATTTGCCCCAAAATTAACCCCCCTCCCCTCTAGAATTTCCAAAAATTTCGCACACCCCCTGGAAATATTGCTATCCCTTATTGAAGGGAACAGCTAAGTAGTTTTTTTCACTAGGATGCCAAATTTTGAGTTTCGTGTAATTTTTGTTGAATTCTATAACAGGTTAAGCAAATTCCTTATCGGAATTCCTGATGCACTCAAGTCACAAACAAATTTTGAGTTTCATGTATTTTCAGCTTTTCTGTTGAATTCTACAACAGATCAGTGAATTCCTTATGCACTCAAGTCACAAAGAAATTGTTGACAAAGTTCTTGGCCATAGGCAAATGAAATGCAAGATCACTTGGGAAATATAACTGTACTTTCTCTCACTGTATCAAGAAGAAAGCAAAGAGATCAGGACCTTGTCGTGCAATCAGACAGGGTGAGTATCAAATTTCGTTCTATCAAATTTGCATACCGGTATTTCATCACTGATTTTATAGATAATAAAATTGTCACGCAAAGTTTGACAGTCTGGAAAAGACTCGTTTAACTTCCTTGTGATAGAGAAACAGTCAAGTGCAGAAGAATGTAACCAATTAAAAGTTCTTTTTTCCATGTTTTGTGTTCTTGAAAGTTTCCATTCTGCTGGCTAGAAAATAAACTACCAAAGCGTATAAGATAAAAGAAATACTATTTATTCCTCACCCTAAAGGTATCCATTTAATACAATTTGAACAACCATTTAAAATCTGGCACTACTCAAACTTTAGAACTGTTTTGTGAACTGTTTTCTTGAAGCTTGGCCTAAAGCCTTAAAAATGCGTTGCCAGCGGTATCAGTCTGATCTTTTTCACGTGAAATGGATTATCGTTTGTGCCTTTGCGAACTGATCAAAAAGTTGTTCATGAACCACAGGGCAAGTATATTTATCTAGCTTTAAATGGAAATTATTCGGAAAGTGTTCTTTCTGCTCTACCATCACCTCAAGATAAACGCCACTGCCAAAATACATGAACATGAACCTGCGGTAAAAGTGAATATCCTTTACAAATAAGAACTAGTGTGAATGAAAACTGAAAGATAAAAGATTTGCAAAAAATTGCGGACAAACACCTTTGTAATCACTACCATTCCGATTGCGTGAGACGCTTTATTTTGTAGATGAATATATATAGTGGAACCTTAATATAACGAAGGGCCAAGGGACTGGCAAATTATGTTCGCTAAAGCGGGGTTTCGTTATATCTGGAGGTTCTCTTCCATATATTTTACTATTACTGGGTCGAATAACATCTTTTGTCATACCGAGGACTTCGTTATAATCAGGAGTGATTCGTTACATCGTATTTTATATCTTTGCAAATAAATTGTCATGGTAAAGTTTTGTGTCTTTTCTTTGTTACCCTCTTATGTGCCACAAGAACCCTCTGGAAATATTTCCCTATGGTCACCCTCCAGACTCCCCCCTGGAAAATTAGGCAGATTGACCCCCTCCCCCCTGGAAAATCTAATCCCTTCCGTGGGGGGTATGGATATTTTCTGGAACCACAGAATCCAATAATCTCCCTTATTTTATATTTTTCCTTATCTACATCATCTCATTCTGCTTAAAACATATCAATACTATAAGGAGAAATTATTTTTTTCTTGTGTCTCTTCTTGGAGTGAAAGGGGGAATAAACAAAAAACAGTTGCAGTTGTTTTTCTACAGACCTGGTGGAGATAACACAGGGGGCTCTGGTCCATGTTGTAAGATTTTTGGTGTCTTCCCCCGCCACTTGAAAACTTTCAAATTTAACTTGATCTTTGGAGGAGTTTGGTTCTGGATGGCCAAACCCACTGCTGTATGGATGACATTGTGCACACCATCTCCCGTATCTGCACTGCTTTCACAGTAACAGGTACCCAGTCTCTCTGCCAGTTCACGGCCCTTTGCAATTGTAATCATGCCATCAGGAGAGTCGCTGTGGATGGAAGAAACAAAGTGTGAATAGAGTATACACCAACTCTGTCAGTGTTTTCCTATTCAGGTGTTAAGCAGTAAAATTTAGTACTTGTAGTACTTTGTATTACCACCTGAAATTGCTTGGAATTCTTGAAAATTTAACAGGTAAAAGGACTGCTCTACCACTTTTAATTAAAAATTTATTTTATCTGTCATGCTTACATTAAGGGAGAAAACTGCTCTATCTAAAATAGTTTGAGAAAAGGGTCATAAAATCTGTATTAATACTTCAGCATTTCATAAAATCTGTGTTAATTATCAGCATCTCGGCCTTGTATAAAGACCAGCTGACATTTGTGAAAATGATATGCAAGCCATTTAAATGAACTAAATTTATATAAAAAAAATGACTTCAACAAAAACATCAGCACATGACCAAGGAATCCTATTAAAGGAATAGTACTAACACAAATAACCTAATGAGGGTACCAGAATGAGTTTTCAGAGTAATATGAATTGTACAAAAAAAGTTGCCTGAAATTTGGGCTAGTCTTTACCAACTGGAATAGATAAGAAACAAGTACATCTGTTTTAGAAATAGCATGTTAAATGTAGCATGTTACTTAGTGAACACAACATAGAAGAAATTGTATTGCCGTTAAAAGTATAAATTTACATGACTTGTGCAATATTTTTTAGTTTCAATTAGGTAGTTGGTTGAGAAAATTGCAAATTCAAATTAATCAATAACAAAAAAAGTAATTCATAAATTATGCTACGAAACTTTTCATTTTGTTTTGCCGAATTAACATCAGTACTACAAAAGCCTCAATCTAGGAAGAAGCCAAACCAGGTGATAGAAATCTCTTTTTACTCCATTGGGGTGATGACAGTTTTTTTCACATGTAGTCACAATTAAATTTCTCATTATCAAAAACTGCATAATTATGTAAACTCAAAGTTTAATTAAGTGGCACTCAAAATTTGCTTAGAAGTAAGCACTTCTCTTATCTTCCAATGCAATTCAGATTAAAAAATATAAATAATTATCATACCGGCTGAAGTGTGCCTGTCCTTTGTTTACTATTGTGTGCTGGAAATGTGTTAAGTTATTTTAAAGAGTTATTGCATGATCCAAGTTATTTGGTCATGTCATATAATTTACTACTGATTACTCAGAAGTATTTAGTTACTAATCTCAATTCGAAAACAAAACGGTACCAAAACATCAAAACCATATCACAACCAGGTAATGGAATAGGGTTTTCCTTCAACTGAGTAAAAACATAAACATGATGGTGGCTATCACATGATCTTAGACTGTATTGAACTGAAAATTGGCCAAAAATTCCTCACAACATTTCTACATCCTTGTTTTGAAAGTGTGAAACGTCAAGTGGTTACAAAAATGTTGTTGTTAAAAAAAGATAATTCCTCCTCGTTGAAGTCGAACCTATGATCATTCAAAAACATTGTTCGGTATTTGTTATTTTAATGACAGCAAAACTTAGGAGACTAAGGCCAACCAGGTCCACTAGGGAAGTTTCAAGTGAAGATACCTGCAGATTTGCATTGCACAATGTTGCACTTTACGGAATCCAACACTTTCAGCTGACACATTTTCAAAATTCTGCTCCTATTTATTTTTCTTCAGCACACCACATAAAATATGGAAAAAAACAACTAACTGCAAACAACAACAGTTTTGAACAGCTGGTGAATGGGAATTTAAATAGTCCTTCCAAACAACTTGTCTAAAACAATAGAAAAATTTCCGCTTGTCTTAAACCTACGCAAACCGTACGTCAACAAACAGCTAGAGAGGAACAATATGGCACAGGAAATTCCCTAAAATGCAAATGACGACAATGAAATGTAGCGTTAGCACTTCCACTTCCAATTTCGTTTTTGCCTCTAATTAACACGATCAACGACACATGATGATATCACAAATGTTCCTGGTACATCTATTAGCTCAACAGAACAATAATCAAGGAATACACTTGAATATCGAACTGTAGTTATTATGCTCCATATATATGTCGTAGTTACAATAAATAGTTTTTGTGTCAACAAACGCCGTGGGAGATTTATTGAGGCATACACATACTACAATATAATTACAGCCAAAATATTTCTTTATTAAAATGAGTCTGAAATAAACTGAACTTGTAAACTTGTGAGCTGGGGTTTTTTCTTTAAAAGCGAACCGTGTTGAAAAAAAAAGGTTTTCAACTTTTCAACAAGAAAACTTTATTAAACAAAGCGGAATAATTTAATCCCAGCTTCGGGCCAACACTAATAACATACCTAGCGTGAGTAAAACTACGTTTTTGCCGGCTAAATTAACCTGAAATAAGTAAAATGAAAGTATAAAGCCTAGTCTGCAAGAAAATCAGATACTCGTATTGGAAAATCCGCAAAAATCATTTTGAAACTTGGAGCGTAATAATTTATACCTGACAGCTGACGAGTAAAGACGCTTGGCTTCTTTGTGACTGGGTTGAAAATGTGGTTACATGGTTGTTAAATGTACCACAATACAAAAATATTCTTCAAAATAAGCTAATTCTTACCCTGTTTTGCGCAGATCTGTTTTGTTTCCAACGACGAGAATTGGAGCTGAGGGCATGTAATGCTTCAGTTCAGGAACCCAGACGGTAGAGACGTTTTGAAAAGAGCTGGGATTGGAAATGTCGAAAAACACGAGAAACACATCAGTCTCCTCGTATTCCATGGGTCGAAATTTTAGGAAATCAGCCCCACAAATTGTGTCCCAGAAAGTTAGCAAATAGCTAACTTGGTCCACAGTCATGTTCGTGAAAAAAGGATCTTGCACAGATGGTAAAATCCGTTCCCGTCCTGGAAATAAAGGTATATCATCTTCTGAAGCAAAGTTCTCCTTGTACCAACGAATGAGAAAGGATGTCTTTCCAACTCCGCCGTCCCCCACTACTTTAACTTTCAACCGTCGCATATTTCAACCCTGTCACTACAATTACAGAGCAACAGACTACTGTGAGATGAAAAGTACCGCAAAGAACGTTTCCACCGCGAAGCCGTACAATATCTTCAGAAACGTCCTTTTGAAGAGAGCAATCTATTTCAGATTCAGGCTTCCTCGACCCGTGAGAATGCAGCCAATCAACGACGTTGTTCTATTTCTTGTGCTAAACCTTCTGTTTATCGATAATCACTTTTCATCACGCATAGACAAAAGATCACGAAATAATAGGACCAAATGAAAACAAAAGTCCACGGATATTTAGTCAGTTTCCTCCGCTTATTCCTGAAGCTATTAGTTTCAAAGTGTTATTCAAACCGTGTCACATCAAGCCATTTGGCAAAAGTGGCGGCGAAATGTTATAATTTCCTTTCCAACCCGCAATCGCCTATTCCAGCGGTTCTTTTTTATTTTTGCAATAAGCGAGAGCAAGAGAAAATAATGGACCATAATTTTATCTTGGTGACTGAAATTATCGAAAACAATTTCGTAAATATTGCAGAAATGGCTTTTAAAGCGGAAAAATATGGAATGCGGTGTCACTTTTTCCGCAAACGTAAGCAGCCCATTTCTGATGTTTACTTATTGTCTCGAGATACTTTTCTTTACACAGATAAACGACTAGGAAAAAAATTCACTTAAAGGATTATAAACGCTCTAAAACTACTCTTTTTCGCCTTCAGCGTCGTTCGACAAATCAACCAACCCTTGGAATTTTTTTTTTTTTTTTTTTTCGGAATTCATGCATGTTCTTAGCGGCTGAGACCAGCAGTGCCAGCTGCTATACCTAACACAGCTGCGAGTAATTGCGCAATACCCGAGTAAGAACTTCAATTTTGTTAAACATCACTTTAATTCCAATATCCCTCAAGAGACGCATTTATCAGACGTGGTGTTATCAGTTACAAGCTTAAAACTAATATGTCGCATCTGTAATAAGTAAAATATTATCATCAGTGAGAATGGCTGGGGCGGAACATGTGGTTTAGCCGCAGGAAGAGGGAGCGAACAGGATGAGAAGGTGGGGGGAGGAGAGGATTTTGTTAAGAACTGCGTTCGGCTCCTGTTTCTCATGAAAAAACTACAGCAAAGACGAGCTTGTGATTATAGAATGATAAAGTAAGTTTTGAAAGCAATATCGTTACAGTAACGGCTCAACGTTTTATTTTTTCAATATCAGTCTGTGCGGCAGGATGAAAAAACACAGAACAGGTGGAGCCAAGGAAATGGTTGTGAAAAATTTTTCTTCTTTCTTCATGCAAGGGGGAGGCAAGAGGAACGCTCCCCTCCCCAGTCCACCCCCTCCCCAGTCCACCCCCTCCTCACTTTATGATTGACTATCGCTTCGCGCTCGCATCGCACTGATCTGGCGCTAGCCTAAGCTCGTTTTCCGCCGTCAGGCAAGTAAACTGTGAAATTTTCTCTAGCGAAATCAGGAAATGAGTGCCTCATAGTTAGGTCCTCATAGATTGTGCTAATAAATGAGGCATATTATGCTACAAACATCGCCCGATTTTTTTTTTTTTTTTTGAAACTTATGCTAGTTTTTCTATAAGTATGCTTTCCAAAGAAGAAACACAAAATAACTCTAAATCATTGTGAACTGAGCATGAAATCTTCTCGATTTTGAGTAGCGCACTTGCTCTGATAAAACACAATTTACCTATATCTATTAGAAGGGAATCACTTTCCATGTTCAAAAATGACCTAAGACTCTACTGTTTTGCTATTGATAGCAGTGCTTTAATGTAATTGTTATTTAATTTTAGTTAGCTCTAAGTTTTAACATGTAACATTTTACTATACTCGTTTTATGATACTGCCTGCCATTATCTATACTTTATTTTTGTTCTTGTTTTCATATATAGTTTCTGGTGGCCTTTATCATTAGGGAAGTTCATTCCTGTTGCTAGGTCTTCCAACAACTATTTAATTATATGTTTGTATGTACATATATTTATTTGCTGTAAATTGATTAAAGTAAAACTCCAGTCTTGTTGTCTGTGAAAGCAGGAACTGGGATAGACGCAATCTGCACTTCTGGTGTGCCCAATCTTCTAAACGACGAACGACGCAATATTGCGGAGACTTTCTTTCCCCAAGACATCATGACTGCAAAACTGAAAATGGACTGAGCCATGAACCGAAATTGAAAATAATCAATCTTGAGCAAGTTATGACTCTAGTAATGTTCCCTTAAAAAAAGAAATATACTTATTATGTTAGCAGTGCTACTTTTATAAAGGCTGTGTTTTCACCAGGCCGATATGCCGATTAACTAGCTGAACATTCTTTCTAGGTGTTTGTTTACAGACCGACAATATTACGTGTTAAACTTGACATCTGTTTTCACTGTGAAATTTTTGCCGTTTACTCAGAAGATTCAAATTACAAAAGCGCGAAGCTTTGAAAAAATGGCGGGAGACGAAGCATTTTGAATGACTTCTCTTGTACTGATTCTCGCCATATTTCTTTGAAGGAGACGACGTTTCTTTCAGAGGATGCGACTAATGTCTCGACAAATGGAGAGGATGCGATGGATTGTGTTAATCCGGACAATCCAGCAGCAAAACACCTGCTATCGCCGTAAGCACAAGACAGTGTGGGTTTATCCAAGACTACAGTTTTGGTTTGAACAGCTCCTCTAGTTTTAAACCGATATCAAGATCATCTATGGCGAGAGCACTTCAGGGTAAGCAGGGAAGAAGCGGGTGGCTGTTGCTCTGTGGGAGTTAGCTACTAGAAATTCGTATAGAACCGTAGGATTAACGTTTGGGATCGGCCGATGTACTGCCATGAATGTCAAGGACGAATTCTGCTCTGCCTTGATGAGAAGAGCTAATGATTTCATCAAATTTAATTAGGTATTATTACGAGTGAATTCGTCTGCCGGCTGCCATTTCAAAACCAAAGTGAACCACAAGGTGAGCGCGAGCGACTGGAAAATATTTGGCAGTTCGCGATTTGGCAGGCATCTGTCACCAGGACAAGTCATAGAGGCGAGATAATCCCTTGTTTTTTCATGTGAAAACAGCTTACATTTTTAACTCCCTTAACTTACCCTGTGTTTACATTTGAGCTTTTACCAAGGAAAAAATTTACTAAGGTCAAGTTCACTTGACCTTGGTACATTCGTTCAGTGTTTACACTAGCTCAAATAACTCAAGTTGATCTGTCATGGTTTGGTTTGACTATCGCGACTGACAGATCCAGGGTTTGAAGCATACAACGTTGTTCATTCTCCCTTGCGGTCGTGAGCTCTAAGATGACTCACTAGTCCAATATAAGAGTGGCAAACTTTTGGAGACTTGTGGCATGGATAGCAACCCTGTGCTACTGAGTATACGCTCTTTGCGGCAGTGACGACGTTCCCTCAGATCCTCTATTCGAGCATCCTCAAACTTCGCAACCCCGCACTTAACAGCTATCTTCCACTGGGCTCTATCGCTTACAAGAGCTTCGAAGTCAGTTATGTCGCATTTGTTCAGCGTGCTCTTCAATTGATCTTTAAAACGCTTCTTAGGCGCACCAACTTTACGAGCACCATCAGACTGTTCGCTGTATAAAAGGGCTCGTGGTAGTCTCTCGGCGCTCATACGAACAACATGCCCTGTCCACCGAAGATGGGCTTCCATTATGTAGGCCTCAATCCCGCGCATATTGCAGTGAGACAGCACTTCAGTGTTGGGTATACGGTCTTGCCAGGAGATTCCACTAATTCTCCGTAGGCAGCGCATATGAAAGGTATCTAG